TCCTGTACCCATGACATTAGGACAAAGCCCATTACCTCTACGAGGGATTTCACGGCGAAAATAAATGTTGTTGTTTTTTTAAAAAAAGGGGGCAATTCTGCGTATTTCTGATTTACCTTTCCTTTGTGTGCGAGGGGCCCGTGCATGCTCCTTTCGGCTGGTAGGACTGATTGATGAGGTGAAGCCTGCGGTTAAACGAACGGAATTAAGACAATTTATTAAGGATCTAATAAACATTTAAAGCCTGTATATTGTTTTGATTTAATTTTTAAAATTTCTTGGTACGCGTTGAAATCTCGTTAACACGTATGCGAGCACTCACAGAAAATACTACTGCATACAAAACACCGTTAAATCTACAGTACTGTCATGTTCTTTGTTTAAAATAACACAATTAAAACTTTTTACGCTTTTAATTAACTTTCATTTAAATCGAATTAACTGCTCTGTTTTAAAAGAAACACTCGTCGGAAAGGAGAACTTAATAGAACCGAATGAGTACCTTAATGACAAGTTTTATATTGAGTATAAGGCTTGATACTAGGACACGGTACTGTCTGTTAGTTTTAAAAATAGCTGAATCTCGCTCACAGGTCTTATCTAAAACCTCACCGAGGTAGAAACAGAGAGAAACGCTCAATTTAACTTGAGATGAGCTGTTTTCTTTAAGATATTCAATGCAAAAACTTCCACCTCTGCTACTTAGAAAGTCTATATCAGTTCAAACATCCCGACATCATAGGACAGTAGCCGTACTTTTTCTTAGCCTGTTCAAGGGCTACTCAAATTATATTTTATCAAGAATACCCAATATGATATTTCTTAATTAAAGGATGCCATAATATTTTGACAACAAATAGCTAATGACAGCTTCCAGTTGACATATTCCACATAAACAAAACTGCGAGGAAGGTGGGGGGTCGACTTAATATTTAGACAAAAAATATCAAGGGAATGTATTATTTGCAAAGAGTAGATATTTGAAGTGAAACACGTGAAGTGAGAATGCATTCATATATACACAGAATTATTTCAAGATAAACAATACTAGCTTGGGCTGTCCATTTATTCATAAATACAAAAATGACTCTCACCCCTCCTCCACACACAGACCAGTAACAGGAAGAAAAACAGTTAACCACCTGTCAGGCTAGAAGTACAATAAAGCAATCCAAAAAGAGCTTTTCATGCATGGGTAATATATTTGTTCAGCCACTCACTTAATGAAGCTGATAAATGTGATGCAAAACAATGGTCAAGTTAATCTATTTAGTAAAATGTTTTGAGATCTCGCGGCTGTGTTAAGGACTGCACTGTTTTGGTACATTTTCATTTAAATGCGCCCAACTCTTCTCTCGGGCGCACAAGGTGGTGAGACATTCTATGTGGATATAATTTCTTATAAATGTGCCTTTAATGGGTTTAATTCACCATTGCCAGCTGTTTTGCGCTATTTGGTAAAGGAAAACAAACGTGCCAAGCTTGGAAAGCTAGTTGAAATTAGTTTCGGTCACTGGGGCTAAGCTATATTTCCTGCAAACCATCTGCTTGATTGGCACAATAGAGGGATTTTCGGGAGAAAATAAAGGAATTAAAAAAAGCTTTGAACGTCCAACAGTTACTTTTTGCAGGGAATTGTGAAGGTGCTGTTTTAGGTGTCTTAATACCACTGCCACAGATTGCGGGTCTGGGGACTGTTCAGAAGGGCTTGGATACTTGGAATAAGCTAAGGCTTTAATTTTGTTTAGGTAAATCCGACCCATAGGTAATATTCGTTGAATTAAATAAAGGTTAAAGGTTACTTTATAACGGTCATATGAAAAGCTTTAGTGCTAGGAGAATCTCGTTTGTACTCGGTAAGGTTTTGTTGCAATATTAGTCACATTGGAGAGTGGCTTCAGTCCCCAGAGGGATTCATTATTTTTTCAAAATGAAATTATACTTATTTGGTGATGGATGTAATCAGAACTAAACACACAGCGCAGAGGTTTTTGTAGAACAAACTCCGTTGCCTAAAACTATATTCAAGATCACACAATGTGTTAACATCGATTGAAAAAGTCAGACGTTTTTACATTTTTGGGATTTACCGTAAGAAAAAAACAATTGACACATTTCATTATAGACCAAATAACTATTGATTGAATTACATGCATTTCAAAGACTATATAAGGTCCGGTGAACGAAATTGAACCATATATTTGTCGCGGAGCTGATTTTTAATTTGTAAGTAATTTCTTCAGTGCTACAGTAAATCATTCGTATTATCATTAAAAGTAACCGATATATACGAAATAAAATAAAACAATAAATATTAACACGAATTATTGCCCGATTCCACCTGTTACTAAAAATACATCGGCCATAATTTTGTGGACGAATAACAAAAGCTGAGTATTGGCTTCAACGTATTTGAATTGTTCATACAATAAAAAATTACGGAATATTTGAAACAGTTGAAAGCAACGCGCTTTTCTCAGAAGAAAAGAGAAAAGGCATAAAACACAACATGTCCGAATTCTTTGGACGATCTGTAATATTGTTCACTACAGTGCCATTTACCCTGCTACCGTTAGTTCCTGCTGTAACGACTCCTACTGGGTTCTGAGCGTCTAACGCACAATTTCATGGAGATTTATCCTCTGACTTCACTTGTGACACACGCGGGGTTGAAAACTTTCCTTCCCTCAACTTTTTAAACTCGAGACAAAGATGGGTTGACTTTTAAGAAATAAAATTGAAGATATCCAGTTTAAAGTGAATAGTTCACCGAACAAAACGGACAGAACACTGGTCAAACACTATTAGTCACAGGTCTTAGCCCAGCACTTCAGAACTCTCTTCTCCTAAATGAGTAGACGCTGAAAAGAGCACGCCCAAAAGAGATTTTAAAAAATAAAACCTTTTGTCAATTTTTCTTGCCTTATTAACTATTTCTTCAATAGGTGCTTATCATTTTTCTCCTGCGGTTCGGAAGAAATTCTTCAAGGGTGTGCTCAGACAAACCAAACGAAACTTATTCCACGTGTGGCTCAGCATGTGTCTGACCCAACCTTACAAACAAAGGCATTCCCCTTTCTTAAAACCAGAGAAACTGCCAGCAGTGGGTCTATAGAGAATAAAAACATCCAATTTATATATAGATACACATTTTCTATCCCTCTATATAGAGCAGTAAAATAAATCATGCAGTTGGATACCACAACGATCACAATACTAAATAACCAAATAAAAGCATTTTATTAAAGCAATATAAAAGCCAAAACGCATTTTTCTATTGTTATTATTATTATTATTATTATTATTATTATTATTATTATTATTATTATTATTATTATTATTATCTATGACTCCGGTATTAATTCAAAATATTTTGATACCAATACAGAAATGTGAAGGTACCACATGGTGTAGACTGCTTGCAAAGATAATCATTAACTTGTGTGAAACTGGAATAGTCTTATTCCTTCATTTTTTAAATTTGTTGGAGTGTATCTTCAATTATGCTACAAAGAACATCAAATACAAATATTTAACTTATTCCGCTTTTTGCTATTCCGTTGGTAACAAACGGGTAGTCAAGCACAGCCTACTTTCTTAAAGAAACGAATAGCTGGCGAAAGCGGTATTTAACAAAAAAGAATAGTAGGACAGCTTAAGACTGCAATGCAGAAGAACATATATTCAACGTCGCCTTAATTTGAGTTTAATATGAGGTTTAGCAGTCTTTTTTTAAGAAATGTGTTATAAATCACAGATGCACTTTTATTCAATGGTTAAAGCAGCGACATGGGGATAATGGACCAAAAACGTCAGAACAAAAAAAACGTCCATAGAAATAAAGCTGGATAATAAGATTTTTCAGAAAGCTTTGTGTTTGGAAAAGAAAGACAGCAAAACAGCTGAGGGTGACAGTTAGTTCATGGTTAATAGGATAAGGGCTGCATGGTTAAGGCTGCACACTTCTCATTGCAAATGTGCAGCGGACCCAGGGAAATTAGGAAACTTTTCAAACCGATAATATTTAACACATCTGTTAAAGCATTCTGTGACGAGGAATCGCTTTAATACACTAATACATTATTCCATAACCTGGACAAGACAGAAACTGAAAAAAAACAGCACGAAGAGAAACTACCCAAAACATTTTAAACGGACCCGGTTATTAAATAAATTTCTTACCATAATCACTCTTTTTATTGTTGTGGACAATGACGAAATTAATCTAGAACAAAATATTAAAAACCGAGTTCATAATCTAGCATTTTTTACGCTTTAAAACTTTTATTATTGTTAGTGGTATATTTTAAAAATAAACATGAAATAACTTTAAAAATACATGCGTTTAAAATCCACTATATTTGCCAGTGAATTCAATATATAACTCTATACATAAAAAATAAAGTAATTCAATACGCAACTCTTCATCTTTTATTCCCAATATTGTATTTCGCTGCACAATATAACAGCACGAGAAACACTTTTTATTTATGAAATACTTGATTGGTTAGTTTCAATCCAAATTACTTTGCCACCCAGATACACTTAAAACATTTGGACCCACTGTCTTATTCAATGGCCTGCAGCTTTTTATGCGAATACTTATTGATCTATTTTGTAAACACAGCAGGGGGGCTCAAATAAATTTAGAGAATTCTTTTAATAATTCTCTCATTCGGGGGCAAAATGACGTTTGAAACTTTTAAAATAGGCTTTTAATTAGCCTGTGTGAGCGGAGTCCAAACAAAACCCTGCTGAGATTCTATACAACAACGTATTCCAAAGAGGCGGTCAATATGCAAAATTGATGACTACACCTTCTTTGTTAAAGGGACATTGTCTACCGCTTGCTTATGAAGTCTAATCCAATCATAAATTGCATCCTCGGACCAATCAGGGGGCTCAGATTGCGGGCTGAAAGAAACTCATGTGGAGAACTTTGTTGAACCTTATTGTTGGAGCTGTCAGTTTTGAAAGGGCTTTGCTAAGCAGTCCACTATAAAACCCTTCACCTAGAAAGAAGGGGCAGAAGAGTGCTGCCTGTCTTTCCAGTTGGACCCTAAGCGAAATCTTCTTCAATTAAAAGACGGACGTTTATTACGTGACACTTTCTCCTGTCCCCAGACGGTGCGATGATGTTCCCAGGTGTTATTGCGCCACCTGCAATGTATCCAAGCCTCCTGCGGCCATCGACTACTCTGACACTTCCACAGACTTTGCAATCTGCGTTTACCACGCACTCTAGCTTTTTAGTGGAGGACCTGCTCAGGATCAGCCGACCTGCCAGCTACTTGCATCGGACTGTCCCATCACCAACCGTGTCTCCGCCGAGCTCAGGAACCACGACTCTGAACACTGCGTCACCTGACCACGTTAACACCTCCACCTCAGTGGCAGTGTCACGCGGAACATGCTCACCACAGACTTCACTGTCCACCAACAGCGACCCCAACTACCTGAAGTTTGGAGTTAACGCCATACTGGCGCCATCTTCAAGAAATGGTAAGGTTCAGACTTGTTCAACGTATTATATATATATATGACAGAAACCTAATTGCAACCTAATTGTATATTTTAGCAGAGGCTCAGGTGAAGTTGATTGTCACACCCACATTTTGGGGTCTAAAATCGAAACAATAAAATAGTTTTAAATAGGTGTTGAATGGCAAAAATAATACTGAAATACTTACGTTAACAAACCCATGAAAACAATTTTTGATTTGTTTCCAAGGTATTTGGCTTTCTTATACATTATCCAAGTTAGAATTGTATGTTCAAAGAAACACAGCTGAGAATAAAAAGATTCTATGTACTGATTTTGTCTTCACTTTTCGCTTACAGAATCGTCGCCTCCTTCTGTTCAGTGCCTGCACCCCAAAGCCTTCCCGTTCTCGTATTTTGACGGATCTTTCCACCCCTTCATCCGATCTTCCTACTTCCCAGGTAGGCCTTCCGCCATCTTGAAAAATGACCGTTCCTGGGCCGCTGAGGTTTCCTGTAGTTTTACGCGTATTCGAAGATTGTTTCTTAGCGAATCCGGATGAGGGAGGGAGAGGGGAGGGGGGTTGAAGGCTCTGGTTCAGAGGTTGGAAGCGGTACAACATTGTGGAATCAGTCTCGCCAATTTGATGCCCTATTTAGCACAAGCAGTGACTGCTGACATTTTGCACCGTTTCCCTAATCTACAAATTAGCAGGAATTGTCATGGTCCAAATTTGAGGCGGGTCCCTTCTCACAGAGAAACTGTTGGCATCTCTTCATGGCCTCGGTTTTCCCACAGAGCAAGTGCACTTAGCCACTGATTGCTAACAAAGGTTTCAGCACCATGACCAATTGGCCAGCTCCCTCCGGGCAGCCACACACAGACCTTGCGCTGACTTTACCATACTGCTGATAGGCATTTACCAGTCATGGACTAATTTCCCATTATGGGCTATTCAGTGTTTCAATATTTTCACAAGACCACATAGAGCGCAGTTCGTGTTTGTGGGAAGTCCAGGCGTAGCATTTGTAGATTTAAAGCTTGCAATTAACTATTGAGGACTGCATTAAAAACGAGACAATAAAATGATGTAACGGGACGAGAGGGGACGAGGGAACGCATGAACAACAAAATTTTATAAAACAAAAGTTGTGTAGACAAAAAAGGGACAGTGTTTTGAGGACGAAACCTAGCTTTACACAACATTCCGTCACCATTCTGGCACATGGGAGGTTATGTTAAAAGTGCATGGATACGCTTAAAGATGCGCTCTCATTATTAAAACGGTACTGACTATGCAGTGAAACAAAGTATAATCTTTAGGAAAAGTCTATAAAGTCGCTAGATCGTGCTTTCATTCAGACTAATGATAATAGAATGTGATTCTTTTCTTAGCTATGTGAATGCCTCAACAAAACAACTTGAGGTTTATGAATAGCTTTTCGTGTTCATTTAATGAAAATGATTTGGGGGCAAAAATAGGCCCCGGTCATCAGTATTCTCACAATGATCCTGGCATGCAGTTGTGTTTAGTTTGAAAGTGTAAATCTCTTTTGTTACAATAATATATGGCTTTAGCTGCCTGTCCTCAGTCTTTTTCTGTTAGTTCATTACTACACAATTACCGTTCACGCTTCATTAGAACCTCTATCTTTCATTGGGATTTTCTTAAAGGGTACTCTCCCTTTTTACCATACCAATGCCACCGGGAACTAAGCAATGTGCTAATTAGCTGTTTCGTTCCATTGCATTCACTTGAATGCTATTTGATAACGATTTAGAACAAAACGTCGTCGTCAGCGTAGATGTTTTAATCGAAAAACCTGGCGTTCTTAAATTCAAAAGTAAAACAACAAATAGTAATTCAATTCCCTCCTACTTGTGCATGGCACAGAGCAACCCCCTTCTATGACTGGTCATCACGCCTATAACCTATTTAGGGATTCCGGCCTCCTGACTAATTTCCTTTATTGCGTTTTTACAGCATCTTCATCAGTAGTACCGATTCCTGGCACCTTCTCCTGGCCACTTGCAGCCAGAGGAAAGCCACGCAGGGGAATGCTCAGGCGGGCTGTGTTTTCCGACGTACAGCGCAAAGCACTGGAGAAAATGTTCCAGAAGCAGAAATACATCAGCAAACCGGACAGAAAGAAGCTGGCTGCGAAGCTCGGTCTCAAGGATTCGCAGGTATGTAACCGCTTAAAATGTCAAAATCGGTTTTAGTTCATGTTGAAATGTCGTTAATAACGTCTATTCTGAATGCCAATAAAGCATTTCAAATATTTAGGATTTATACGGTACGTCCTTAGCTTTGATAGAACTGTTTTATTTTCTAACCTGTATATGTAAATATACACTTGCTGGACATAATAACTGAAAGGTGACCATTCGAATTGTTTTTCTCCCCCCGTTAGGTAAAAATTTGGTTTCAAAACAGAAGAATGAAGTGGAGGAATTCCAAAGAGAGGGAGTTACTCTCTTCCGGAGGGTGTAGAGAACAGACCCTGCCCACAAAAATGAACCCTCACCCCGACCTCAGCGACGTTGGCAAAAAGTCCTCCGAGGAAGATGAAACGGCCGGCAAACACAGCCCGCGGGTTTCGTTCTGCCACTCGGCGGCAGAACACAAAATCATGGACATCGAGTCGCACCTGTCGTCGCCGGCGAACTCCAGAAAACACTCAGACTTCTCAGAATCCGAGGAAGAGGAAATCACGGTTTCATAAATATTGACAATAAATTATGTTTATATAAAACTGACTGTTATATATATATATAAATTTATGTAACCAGCCCTTTTATAATATTAAAGAGGATTATCCCTTTATTTAATCGCTGTTACTTGAAATAATTTAAGTTATGTCCTTGTTAACTTGCTCCTCTGGGCATGTTAAAACCACATATTCACTTGGCGTTTTGAATAAAAATTGCAGACTTTGATCGATTCACTTTCCACTTTCCAGTGCTTCAGAAGGAATAAAGTTCTTAAATTGCAATTCTACAAAAAAAAATCATCTCGTATAAAGGGATAAACTTCTTTGAAATTACTTGCTGTGTTTGCACAGCTTTTGTGAAATGTACAGTATTTTGTACAAATATTCTTTTGTATGGAAATTTTATACCAAGAGTATTATGAATGGCTATACAGTTTTTACATTAGGTTTTTAAAGCCTTTTTTAACTAAGAAATGTAGAAGTTCAATGTATAACTTATAAAGAAATATATTATTTTGTACGCTTCTGTCCACGAAGTTGAAATGTGTAGCTTATATATGTTAAATGTTTTGTATAAACACCAAATAAAATCTAGAAAATGCAAACATTTATCTCGGACTTATCAAGGCAAAAGAAATTCTTTCGTGTATTCTAAACATGGAGGTATTAAAAATTCATTCATTTAAATCGCCAACCAACTGCAAATTCAATTACCCTGTGCTTAATACATTTCCCCTACCGTCACCATCTATCCACCTCTTACCCTTTAGTGTCTAATTGTGTGAAATGAACAATAAATTATTATTATGGACATAACGTTTTGTCAAAACATAAAAAATTAACTTTAACACATACGTAGTTTCCACATCAAGTTTCCAAAGACTGGTTTTAAAAATTTAAAATTTGAGACAAAAGGAACTACTACAGTATGCTTAATCTATTCTTAAAAATACTTTACGTTTTCATTATTGAAATCGTTTATATCGTTTATATCATGGTTTCTTGAAGTAAACGATGTCTTGACTATTTGCATTAGATTTCCACTATTTTTCACACAATGAATATACATTTAGTTATTAGTAACTAAGTATACATTATAACTTGGCAGGGCTTATCTCTGTTGTATGAACAATTGTATGAAACATTTTATTATCTTTCTGAACGGACTGAATGCACAACGCTTTAAAAAACAAAACAAATTCAATGTTTTGTTTAGCTTACATGAATCCAAATAAAATGTGCAAATATAGCACAATGTACACAACGTTTTGAGTAGAAAAAAGCAAACTTGATAATACCGTTTGCAGGAGCAAGATGACTACAAAGCTGTGAGAAGTATTAAATCCAAAAATCGCTTGCACAACCGGCCGTATTTTATGCAGTTAAAATTTGGAGCCAGCTAGCTCTGTTAAATGTAATACCTAGTTGGGAAAGATTTAACAATCGGTAATGTGACTCTTTCGGTCCACAATCCAATTGAATACATTTTCATTTTAAAGGACAAACAAGTCCTTTAAAAGATGCTGCCGCACTTCGATTGAGATCTAGAAAACGTGTTAACTGCAGGACTTACTGCCTTGAAACACGCCGCTACAAGAGAGCAAAGAACACTTCCACAGAGACGAGATCAGGTGTTTTCAAATGAAGACCCAACTTTCTAACTTTCCACCAGATACTATGCGTAAAGCCTGTTGTGGCGAGAACCCCAACCCCGTCGTTTTTCCTATTTACTGTACATTGCAAAACATCACCATTATATTTTAAAAACAGGATTGCGACGAGATGACCGAATAAAAAGTAATACAAGTATTGCGAACACACAGTATTTAAGAATATGTTCAAAACCTGGTTTGTTACATTTGAGACTCAGAAGCCGAATTTAGCGTTAGAGTAGGAGTAAACATGGTCCACAGTACGCCATCGTCCTTCTCAAGATATCCATCAATGTAACGAACCGTATTTGATGGTAAGGTAATGCTAGCTAATTACTTACCTAAAAATGGACCTTCGGGTCTTCATTAAGTGGAACAATCAATCTAAATTTAGCCTTTCACTCCAAAATTCTTTTGAGAACGTGCCCTGTCTCCCATTCAACGTGCGTTGGTGACCTTTAACCTTCCAAACTCCTACGACTAAGTTGCAAAGAAAGCTAACTCATTGAAATGTATTTAGGAATGGTTTTAAAAGAAAAAAAAAACAAAACAATTATTGAGTGCCAGTGGTTGCATGTGACAAATTATGCAGTGTCAGCTTCCGGTCTGTTTCACACATTTGGGTTCATTAGGTCACAGGTTCTGGATTGTAATTTTGGAGCGTGACTCAGCGGTTCTGCCTGCGTAAGGATACTTTACATTCTAATTATAAATCGATGCTCAGCGTATTTTGCAACTGAATTGTTCCAGGTGTTAAAAATGTGGAAAGTATCCAATACAGATTTGAGTTGAGAAAATTACCTATAATTGTTTTTGATATTTGAATTTTAACTCCTGGAATTGAAGATAAAGGAAGACCTTCATAATCCGTTTTGCAATAACTTATTAAATCGTTTACACTGGAAGACGTCTAAAACGTCTTCATTTCAATAGCTCTATCATGTAATGTCTGCCTTTATGCTTCTGTGAAGGGAACTTCAATTAGAGTAAGAAATGTAAGATCTTAACGTTTTTAAGAAGTGAGCAGTCTCTTTAGCAAAATCTGAAAAACTTCTGTAAATCCTCAAAGAAAACGTCTTTTCAAATAAAAGGCCTCTCATGAACGTTCAGCGCAGCATTTAATAAATAAGCATTCATTTCTTTTATTGAATCATGAATAATTTAAGACTGGTACAGATCAGATTCATGGTTGAAGAGGGAATCACAATCTTGGAAAACCCTTAATGACAAACTTGAAAGAACCGTGGGATGAAAAACATCAGACTGTACACAAAATACCCATTTCCTAGTTCTGTTTAAAAATGGCTAGAAAAATTCATCAAAATGCAGCACTGTAATCAAATATTTACATTTCTATGTTACAAAGAAAAAAATGTACATCATAGTGAACACATTCATTAACAAACTTTTGCACTTTTAAACAACTAGATTCAACAGCAACCTTCCATAAAATTTCAACATCCAGACCTCTGTGGAAACAAAGTCATCACAAGTAGACAAACAGCAAAACACATCATCATAGTGTTTGCATCAACTATACTGAGCAAACATTTTCCCAAAGTGTACAGCAAATGCTAGTTAACATACAGACAAGTTATGCACATGTCTATTTACTTGATGTACAGTTCTTGGCAGTTCTGAAAACACGAGGAAACTATTTGGCTCCCATTTAAAATTCAAGATGAATGTTGCATAGGATTTGTAACTAAGAACACTCAAAATGAACAGCTCCAACAGTGAACACAATGGAAGCATTGCAAAGGAAACAACTGAAGCCATATATCATACTAACGAGAGTGAGTTTTTAAAAAGAACTGAATCTTATGGCTCTCTACAAAGGAAGAACACTCAATTATTTTTTAGACATGAAAAACAATTTTACGTATCAACTATCATTTTAAAAAATGCAGGTAATCAAAGCCTTAGCCAATTCAGAGTCATTCTTAACAGGAAAGTACTTTATTTCTAAGATCCAAGAACGGCCCTACAACAGTTCCCTTTGCTCTGCACGTTTTGGGAAATCCAATCCCGAAAATCCTGAAAAGGAAAAGCCATAAAATTAAGTACCCTTTTACCTCCCCCATTAGTTTAAGTAAAGTTACTCAAAACAAAGCAGCAAAAACATCAGTTGTCACATTTCATGCAGTGATATCATTCCATCATGATTTGTAATTTTTAAAATAAGCAGGACAATGGTATAAACCTTAAAGGCTCATGAGGTATAGGAAAATCCCCTTCCTTTTACTTTTTCATACATCTGTACATCTTCAAAAGTGTAGATTGAGCACCAAGCCAAACGTTTTTTTAAATTGGCTTCATTCAGGAAGATGCCTTTCTCTTTCACGATAGTGGGGAGAAAATAAAAAAGCAAACTTTACACTTCTTGCAGTTTCCAAACTTCAGGAAACCATCGGATCATCCAGACGGATGATTAGCTGCAAAGACTGATATGAATTTGAAAGCATCACTCTCTCTTGTCTTTTCTCATATCATGAAGTCTCTGATATCAAAAATAATGTCACAGCCTCGAACCTATGATCTTCGCAGAATTCTAGGAGATGATGTTACAGCCCTGTCGTTAAATGCAAAAAAAAAACAAAGACGAAACAGCACTAATGCACCTTAACACAATTATTACAAAATTAAGTAAGGCATCATTTCAAAGTTCAGCACCAAAAAGATGTTCACAAAACCTTGCACAGGATATCTGAGGGTATGCACCTTGGCACAGCTGCATGTAGTCGGGTCAGTTTTCCTGTTGCGTCTGCTTGAAAAAGAAAGTGCTATGCTGGTTGAGGTGTTTTATGCCCTTACCAAAGGAACAAGCCATAATAACACGAAAGGTGAACGCGTGCACTTAAAAGAGTCGGAGAAATACAGAAACCCATTTTCATCTTACTCATCTTACAAGAGGTCTTGCCACCAGCGTGCAAATGGCAGAAGTAACCTTTCGGACCTGAATGTGCGTTATCCACCTTGGGTGGCATGAAACCTTTACAGTGTTCAAAGTAAACATGTCCAGGAGGGGGAAATTTAAAAAAAAACAGCCAACCTGCTTCTTGAAAGTTTTCCATTTGAATTGAAGAGATTATAAACACATACTGGCTTCTTTCAAGGTCTACTTAAGGCTGGCTTTAATACACCAGGATCTGTTTTTAAGGAGAAACATCTGTCAAGGTTCGGAATGGGGAGCAGGGATGTGTAGTTCAATCATGGGCTGCTGTTGGTTTTGACATTAAGAGACCATAACTGCCTTCAAAAGGCAGACAGACTGATCTACCACCAAGTTTCCTGAGTACAGCAGAAGCCTGGTGTACGATGGAGGATGTAAGTGTCTGTGTGTGTGTCTGTGTGTGTGTGTGTGTGTGTGTGTGGGGAGTATTGCAGCCTGCCCCTGCACAATGCAACACAAGGTGGAGCTTGTAGCACCAACCAACTGCAGCTGAGGATGGCCCTGCTCATGCTGGTGTCCAGCCTTCAGTGGTAGTTTGGTTCACAGCAGCATAGGCAATAGTATTTCTTGTTAGATGGACAGTACACGGCACAATGCTTGCTCCACAGTTTCAAATGCATTTTTTTTGCGTATAAGTTTATGTACATTAACATCTTACAATTTGGCCTGTGAAAGCCTTTTGCAAATACACTGTAAAAATAGAATAGTGCAGCTTCACTTTTACTTTAACTTAGAAAAGACTTTTCCACTGGGTTACCTGCACCCATTTGTTTTTCAACAATTCAACAATTAAAGTGGCTTGTTCTTGAAGATGAGTTTAAAAACAAGGAGTCACATTCCGTGTATGGTTTTCAATCAAGTGTTTTTTTTTCTTCTTCTTGAACATCAAAAACAGAATATTGACTGGAGAACCTGATCACAATGTTGACTCCAGTGATGAATCCAAGATGTCATCATGATGACTGTTGCTATTGGAGTCGCTGTCGTAACTCTGGGGGCTGGAGAAGTTGGCTGCTTCTTGGAGTCTCATTAACATATTCATCTAGAAATAAATCAGAATACAATGCATCAGGAATGTAGGAACATGTATGGTAAGCAATCTCGGCAGCTACTACTTCTGCTGTATGTCAATGAAAAAAATATTTGAGTGTTATTGAAGCAGCACTTTCCTCAATGTACAATATATATCAATTGACTGCTAATCAAAGCACATTTGGCCAGCTAATTTGAAGCCACAGTTGCATTGTTTTCTAAAGCTGTATAAAATAAATATGAAACCCTAAGTCATCTCAAGTACTGTACATTCGTCAAATTTCAAAAGAAAATGCAAGATCATCACTGGATGTATGTAAGACACTTAAGACAAGACAAGGAGACTAAAAGCCTGACCGATATCTGAAAAAGTGAAACAAAGACCTCATTGAGACCTTGAAATTGCGTTCAAAGTTGAGAAGAAGCTGAGCAGCACAGGCACAGCTCTGCAACACAGTGCCTGTGGTGCATGTCTGACATGCTCTGACATACTGTACACTGCTAACTTAGAGGACAGGCTGCACTGACCAGTGGGTCTCCCTCCGCGTCACTCTGTGGGACTTGCTTGCTGGTGCAGCCCTCCCGGGCCACGGAGTAGCCGTCAAAGCCAACATCCTCCGGCCTCAGCTGCAGGAGAGGAGGCCACTCATGCTGCTGTGGGCTGGCAGCCCAGGGGTAGGTGTCCATGACCCATTTGGCAGGGTCTTCCCATGGTGCTCTTCTCCCATATAACTGTGAAACACAGAACAGACATCCACAACGCAGAGATCAAATGAGGAACATAAGATGCACGACACACAAACCAAAAGAGATCCAGAGACACAAATATTGTTCCTTTTCTGTTCTAGACGGAACTGCTTAGTGCAGTGACATCTTTAGAAGAAGGTGAACCTTCCAAGTTGAAATGACATGTTTCCACCAGAAACGATAGAAAGATATTAGTATTGTGACACTTCAAAATATGGAAAGGGAGAATACCATGATCAGATAAGAATTTTTTTAAATAATATGCATCTATTGAAAATTCCATACAATTTATTTTAAATTAAATCCCATCTGTTCTTGTGCTGGGAGGTATACTGCTCGAAATTCTACTCAGACCTTTTCAACAATTATCCATTTCTCTGTAGCACCCACCTGCAAATAAGTTCTGCAGTTGCTTTAAGGAGAAATGTAGGACAGATTGTCCCAGCCTAGAAGGGTCTTTAGCTAGAACACACGGTTGATAGCCCTGCACTTTTGAAATGGGTCCATGGGATCTTTAATGACCAACCAGACTTGTCTGAAGGACTATACTCCTGCAGCACAATGTCCCCAAACATTATAACAAGGATTTGGTTTGGAAATTGTGGTTCAGGGGGAAGAGCTCCATCTACTGTTCCACCACTTGCAACAGCAACTTGGTTTTCCTTAGAGGTCTCACATCCCAGCACTGACTAGGCCCAGTTTTGCCCAACTACGGACAAGATTAAGTTATAAATATGGTAATGTTTTGACCATATTGTTTGCAGGCTTGCCTGTTTCATGGAGTTTGCAACAATTTGGAAGAAATATATTTTAAAAGGTATAATTTTTGCATAATAAAGCCCTCAACTTGAGTCACAAAATGCTTTGACTATTTTATACTGCAAAGTAACAGAGAAGTAGCAGGAGTAAATGCCATGTCTTCAGACAAATTAGAAGAAATTTCAATTCAAGAATAAATGGATCTGATAGTAACCCAAAACAGTCTATTGTAACCCCCATACTCAGTATCAACAGTAGCAATTGCAATCTTAAGAAATTGCTACATACATAATCAATCGTATTTGCAAAAATGCTAACTCGTAAATTCCCTGGACTGGCAAAACATCAGTAATATCCAGTCATTAGGCTTCAGTGATTAATGGTATGTTCTCTGGGCTCTTACAGAGAGCTGAAATATTCTAAGCATTTATAAGATACATTTTCAAATTGTTTTATTAAATCTTTCGTTTTAACCACTATTGACTTGCGGATAGAAGCAACTGGATGATATGAATGGAAAGTCTGGGAAAAAAAAGACTTTGGACTAGTCTTCTGGTCATGAAATTTGGGGTTCGTAAAGATTTATGGTTTATAAAACTACAAATGTAAGTGAAGAGTAAATATCTGAGCAGAAACACCTACCTGAAGGCCCTCTCTGACTGCCTCTAACATGTACGGTATTATAGAGTAGTTCCAAAGGTCAGTGAACCACACTCTCGAGCCATCCACGTCAATTGGGCACGAGAGGAAGAGTCTGGGACCTAAAGGAAAAGGTACGTTTTCATAAGTGTGCCAGTGAACCTGTATTTACATTGGTTGCAGACAAATTTTCACCCATAACGACGAACAGGAAAGTGCCTTTCTATGGCTGGGCACTTGTCGGCAGCAATCTGAGAAGCACCTTGCTCAAGGGCACAAGAGCAGTGTCCCTAGCCCAAGATTTGATCCCACAGTATTTCTGATAGAAGTCCAAGGCAAAGATAGGTCGGTGCCAATCAGACATGGCCACAGGGGAAAACACTCCTACTGAAAACAACTATACTTAGAAGAGGTAACTGTTCAAGTAATGTACAAAGGCGCTATCGTGGACTTAAATGATTGTCACACTGATCCGATCTAGTACTTTTGAGTAGGTCTGTCAGGTAGGAAAATGTTCCCAAGACACCATGTTTGTTTGTATATTTTACAAATTTCATTTTTAATTTCTGCAGGACAGTTTCTTAAAGATACAACTAATCTTTTTAGGTAAGCTTTAATACCTGTAAAGAAACATTTGAAAGTTCACTTAAGCTGCATAAATTTGCATCTGAACACGTGGAGACTTATAATTAATGCAAGATCTACAGATTTAGTCCATTGTTTCTCACCAATGGTGACGTCAGAGGAGCTGTGAGCTTCCAGGAACCTGTTGAGGTGGTGCCAGACTTTGGGAATCCAGTCGATGATTTTGACCAGTTCCATGTTTCTCATTCTGGTGCTTATTTCAGTCTCGATCAGCTTCCTCCTCAGGAAACGACCTAAGAACCCCTTCACAGGCTCTGTGTGATTGGCACATAGCACCCACCTGAGGATGAGATAAATGAACCACTTCATACACATAGCATTATTTTTTAATGATGAACAGAAAATACCAATCAGTAATGAGGTGCTTGTTTATATTCTAGCCCCTCAGTACATATGGTACACAGGTTTTGATGTAACAGTATCGCAAAAATGACAAAACATTGCCCTCTAGTGGAAAAATGAGAGAGCTACATGCAGCTTTGTCTGCATTCTAATAACCCAAATGCAATGCATAGTAACCAATGCTCTGGAAACTATACAAAACTATATTTTCTTTTAAACTTAAAATAAAAAGAAAATGGTACTTTTTTAATTTATGATTCTGAAATACATCAAGCCTACACTTGGAAAAATACATATTACTTTTGACATAGACTGCACGTTGTCAGCTACACAGTTTAAAAAATGTATCTTATTAACATCAAATTGCGTAAAACACTGCTATGTTTGTGAAGTACCTGAAGTTATGGTGCAGCTGCAGATTAGGAGTTGATGATGTTGCTTGATTCATTGTCCCAATAATGTAGGGGCTATAAGAAAAAATGGGGGAAAAAGTCTTACAAAGAATGACTCTCATGCACATTATTCTTTTATTGTTGTAGTTGAAACTCATTTCTTTTCTCTTTATGTACAATGAAATCTTGCACACGTACCTAACCAATGAAAGATCATTCGCCTTAGTCATTACTCGCAGACTCACCATTTGTGGTACTTGCAGTTGAGAAGCCCATTGAATATCTCTCCCAGGGAGCTGACATGGTGCAGGTTGTCCAGAATCACCACCAGAGGCATGTCTACTGCATTGCTCTCACAGTTGCACTGGTCAGCCAGATTGGAAAGATACTGCCGCAGCTCCTACGAGGGCAAGGCCCACAAGACAAAGATGTTACTGAAACAGAAAACCGGCAGGTAGGGTATCTGGGAAATTTTCAGACATTTTTAAATTCCTGGCCTTGCTCTCAGCTCTTTTTGCAAAGTTTGAAAATGTTAATAACAATACCGGTAAACTTTCCAGTTGTTATACCATGAAAGCAGAAGAAACCTTGCCAGTGCTAATGCATTTGGAGGATGCATAGGAGCTGACGCAGAAAAAAGGTTTATCTACCAATACTTTGCACGCAGCTTTAGGACAGTATGACTGCCTTTATTTGTATAAAGAAGGGTTTGATTGAGCTTCCTACTTACCTTGCTGGACTTGTGATCCACATTGAAGGTAGCTATGACCCCATCAGTGAGCTCCCTGCGTTCTTTCAGCACCATGTACTCTGCCAGCCGATTGGCTAAGTAGGTCTTGCCAGTGCCACTGGGTCCAGAGAGGATGATGCGCCGGTGCTCCTGGAGCAGGGACACGTATCTCTGCAGCATGGGCTTGGGGATGAGTGTCTCGAAAACCAGGCAGTCCTGACTGTTCTCCGATATACCTGCGGCCAGCAACACCACACCACTCAGCACTTTGCCAACCTCCCCTCCAAGCCTGGCAGCATCTTTCTAAACAGGTAACTTACTGTAGGTCGTTAAGAACATTCTCACCTTACAGGGGCTCTAATTCCTTAAATTGCATTGGTCGATTATCTCTTATATACCCCAATAACTGCTAATTAAGACAGCTTTCCAGCTCAGGCTCCTGGAGACCAGTGAGAGAAAATGGTACTTTTCGAATTTATGATTCTGAAATGCAGAATCATAAATCAGAGCATAAGTCAGAGCAGATCACCTCCGGACACGCAGGAGGTTCAGTGTCGACCAGAGGCAAGGCCTGACTTACAGTATATCCATGCCTTCAGGCCTGCGGGTTCCCAGCAAGTCACAGGAGTTGAGCCAAATAGTCGAAAGCAGAGGAAGTCCTGGCTGACCTGTGCCCTACGCCAGTGAAGCTGTGCAGTCACAGGCGGCTGCAGACATGAGCCAGGCTCATAGACACCAGTACTCACTGGGTCAGTCTGGAGCCTCTCTTGTTTCTTATTTGCTTTAGTTTTAAGGACTCCCCCCAAAAAAAATATTTATGTCCACATTCATTAACCATTTTTCGCAGAGCTACAGTAAGTTACCACTGGGTTTTTTACAAGTGAGAAAAGCACAATTTGAAAGTGCCAGATATGTCTTTTACAACGGGAGTTTGAGATTTGTTAACATAAGTCTGTTTTTGTGACATTATGAGTAAAACTAAGGTGAAACTTTTACGAATTAGACCTCATATGCTGATAAATGTGATTCAATTTTCCTGCTTATTTGTTTCAAAAAAAGAATAATAACGTTAAAAATTCATTTAATGTTATCAGTTGTTTATATACAGTATATCTTGGTCTAGTTTAAGCTCAATGCAAAATGTAGCTGTCACAAAATGTGGTTTTGTTGATCAACACATTTAGCAATAGAAACTGATGAATTTCCTAAAAGCGAATCTGCAACACTCTATCTTTCAGTATACTGTTACTTGTGTTCTATAGATAAGAAGCACTCCTAGGGATATTTTACACATACATATACCTACAGTATATTAAAAAAGTCACATCACAGATACCCGAACAGGTGAAAATTCAAGGAAAAAAGTGTAATAATAATAATAATAATAATAATAATGTTTCTTTATTAGCCCTATACAATTTCTTGCATGAGGAATGCGTCTTTTCGCATACCCCAGCTTTTCTCCATGGAGACACAGACACAGAGACAGGGAGAGAAGCTTGGGGTCAGAGCGCAGGGTCTGCCATTGTACGGCACCCCTGGAGCAGTTGGGGTTAAGGGCCTTGCTCAGGGGCCCACTGGAGTAGGATTCCTCTGCCGGCCGCGGGATTTGAACCGGCAACCTTCCAGTCACAGGCGCAGATCCTTAGCCACAGAGCCACCGCTCCGCTCCGCTAAGCAGTCAACCACAGAGAAACGTTTTAAAAGTAGTAAGGTAAAAGCACACTGGTGCCGGCACCTTTCAGGCTGACAGAGATGGTGTTGTTTTCTCCCACCAGGTAACCACAAGGGAGGAGCTCTGGGGTCTCAGCTCCACTGGTGCAGTGGATATCTCCGATGCTGTATCCCAAAACACTGTCTGAATTCAAACCCAGCTGGCTTACTGGATCCACGTGGATGATATATTCCTAGGAAAATCAAAAGGGGATTTGTTCGACAACAAGATACATGCGTGCTACCAGATCGACAGTAATGGATCATTTACACCTGGTCACAAAGCCACCAGCTGACTCCATAAGTTTAATTGGGCACTTCATTATGGACTCATTATGCCTCGTATTAGAAAATACAAAAGGTTTTTCTCTCATTACCTTGAAAAGGCGTCTGACAACACCATCCAGGACATCCCACTTGGTTTTTCCACTGACTCCAATGCAACCAATGAGAAAATGATGAGGTCTGCACTCCTAGTAGGGGGGAAAAGGTTCTTAAACTTAAACTGAACAGTGCTTAAAATAGAGGATATAGAATTTTCTCTAACTTCAGACTACAGATCATTTGCTCTTTTGGGCATTATGCCTTGAATCTGCGTTAACATTAAAAGCAGTGTAACTCACTTCTTTCCATTTAATGTCATTATCCAGGGTCACAACGATCTTCACATGACGGCCTTCTTTCCGAGATGAACCATCTCCATTGTCATCCAACAGCATGTCTATGGAGCCAGAGCAGCAAATCAACATTTGGAAATCAGAACAGCCCTACTGTTTGCCCATACCTAACATTAACCTTACTATAAAACCCATTCAGAATTGCTGTCTCATTTATTACTTTAATCTACACCATAATCTTAACCCTGAACAGGACCCAAATCAAGACCCAACCCTGTCATTAATCATACAATACTAATACCAACCACAACACAGTCCTGACTGTAGACCAACCTTAACTACAATATTAATTCATGCCAAATCGTAGTCCAAGCTTTACCCTAACCCTAGCTTTTGCTACATTGCTGCCAAACATGTGTGAATTTGATAGCCTTTAATCTTCTTTGCCTGTAAAATGAGACACTATTTATTTCCAAGAATGGTACCGTAGGAATGATGTACAATGCTGAAAAAAAATTAAAAATAAAGTTCTGTGAATTTTGTGGGTTTCCAATATTATCCGTGCTGAGAGAAGCGTATGAGTGGACTCACCCAGGCTGGTGGACTCCGTGAGGCTCAGGCTGTGCTGGGAGAGACCCACTGACTGCCGAGGGGACGAGGAGATGGAGACTTGGGAAGCAGCCCTGCTGCAGCTCCCGTGGCTCTCCGACTTCAGTCGATCATTCTCAGCCTTCAGCTTTTCAATTTCAACCTGCAGAAAGTACAGAACAGGGGGACTCAGATGTCTTTCTCCTTCCAAATTAGAATTGTCAAATACAACATACCCCATTTTTGGACTCAGAAGTTGTGTTTTTCATGTTCGGGCTCTCAGCTATGAGCCCTGTGACTGCTCACTCTCTGACTGCTGGGAAGTCTGCGAAGTGGCCACAGGAATCACTGTCTTGCCAATAATGTTCTGCTTAGAGAATCTGGTCATAGTCGGCTAGTAACGTGACCCAGGCTCGAACCCATAATTTCTGGATCATAGAACTCGTGCGTGGGAGCGCGTTTACTGGTTGAGCTACCCAGACACCTTTACATTAGACTGTATATGGGAGTATGCACATGATTGTAATGCCCTGCAGTTTGCCATGTTGGGGCAACCCATCATAAAAAGTCCAGCAAAGAGTCCAGCAAAATATAAACTGGATTAATAAATAATCTTGAATAAAATATATGACTGAAAGAAAAGGTTGAATTGATTTCACGATAAAAACATCAGGCATCAAAAAAAGTTATACTTTAGAAGGTTGTGATGTGTACACGATGAAGGAAGCATAGATATCACTTGATTAATTTCCCATTCATTTACATGGCTAAATTAGTTCATTGAGAATTTCACCAGCATTAGGATCCTAATCCAAAAGAGCATTATGAATATCAGGAGACAGCTTTTATATTTTTAATTACAAAATAAAATTACATTTTTGGATGTAAGTATCTTGATAAATCTATGACTTTGGCCAATGACTACTGAGGCAGAATGTTTTTGTCTGGGAACTGAAAGGACATGACCTGGCTGTAATATTCAATTTTAGAGCAAATGGTCCTTGAAATGGCCAATTCCCTTACCAGCGCCAGAGCCCCAGGCCTCACCTGCATTCTGTTCATGGCCTCTCGCAGCTGGTCCAGCTGATGGGCTGAGCTGAGGGCCTCCAGCCGGATGTCAGTCAGTTTCATCTCTTTGTCCCTGAGCTCGCTGCGCAGCTGCATGATGGTCTCAGCCTCGCTGTCTGTGCACTCCGATATCCTGCCGGGGAGAACAGAGTAGGAAATACTCCAGGACAATCATACCCAGCTCTTTGCTTCAACCCCAGGGACAAGGAGCGAGAAATTAAACTTCCAAGTTGAAACTATTTAAAACCAACTTAGAATTCTACATAACTCGCATAATTAAAAAAGGGCTAGTGCATAAACTTTGGGGGTGGAAATGTAATTCATGCATTTACAAAGAAGCAAGATTTTTTTATATGTAAGACCAACACATACAGTATATCAAGTAATATTAAGCAGGCTATACATCTTGTACTTGATTTTACAGACATGATTATTTTAAGTGACAAAGCAATGTGCCCAGAAAAAGTGGGTTTTGCCTGAAAAACACTGTATAACACAGAGGCTTGATTGTTAGGGTATGTGGGAAAAGGAGCAAGACAACTGATTTTTTCTCAGAGAAGCAACCATTTGCTAATTGTCATGTCTTTGGTAACATTTCAATTCACTGGCCAAGCCAAAAAAACTCTTTGAATTTAAATACATTTGGATGTGTCTTTCCCTCAAACAGCAGGCTACAGCAGGAATGTGAAGACCAATCTGAATAACTCGTTACTGAGAGAAGTGGAAAACAGGAGAGTTGTGTTACGCACAGGGAGTTGGAGTGGGAATTCCTCAAGATGGGGGTGGATGAAGTGGAGCCGTTGTGAGGGAGCTTGGGAGAAGAGGGCAGGGAGGAGTCAGTCATCTCCTCGATGTCGGAGTGGGAGGAAGCAGACTTGGGCGATTTCTTCTTGCTGAACGCTTGCTTGAAAGAGCTTCTCAACTGCAAGAACAGAAGAATGACAAACATGATCTATTGTACAGCTTTAAAAACAAAATGTGCACAAGGTTTCACCAAACAAAACTTTTTTGGGAAAAGGAAAAGGAAGGAAGAGGAAAAAAAAGTGACTTTATCACATAAAGTGATTCGGACTTGGTTATCTGTGACTTTGTTAAATAATCTGACCCGTATAACTCATGTCATCTTCACCACCACCCAAAAGGTGTACTACTGATCTTCTTGCTCCATATATAAAGGTGAACTTCCAAGGAGTCCTCAAGCAATGACCTTGATTTTCTCAGCCATCAGATTTTGCTGAACATCAAATGAACACTGAATGTTCATACACAAAAATAAATCTGAGAGCAAAAGAGACAATAAAGGTCTCCCCTTCTGACACCCTAGAATGGACACACAGAGCTGTGTATGAACCAGGACAACATTTGCTTAGAATGGATAGAGTCACTTTTGAGTAAACCGAGAGAAACAGTTAGGTTAAGTGCATGTCTCATGTTTCAGAAAAAGAGTGGGAGCTGGGTTAGTATCCTATAGGCATTAGGTTAGCTGGGTTTAGCAGTTTGCAAGAACATACAATCTTACCTCATAGACCTGCCATATGAAGCGCAAGCACAAAGAAAAACAGGAAAGAAAAACAAATAACAAATAAAAAATCAGTTTTGGGTATAGCTACTGGCTATTTGTGGTTGGCTGTACATTAATTTGTTTTATTGGTATCCTGAGCTGAATGGTCAAAGTACACCAATCAGCCATATTTTATATTATTCTGAAGATATTCATCTAAAGCAAAATCTTGAAAAGTAAGTAAAATTAAATCTGGTTGTAAATGTAATTAAGTGATTTGCATATAGCACCTCAATTCAGAACCACATACACACTAATTTACCCCACCGTGTGATTCAGACCCCTGAAATTGCTTTTATTTATTGTACATGAAATGGATGTTATAAAAGAATTTCATGTGGATGTGACAACACGCACTGGGTTCATCCCCAAACTCTTTTTTTCCAGCATCTTCTTGACTTCACCTTTGAGGTGGCAGCCATATCACAAATTATCATGATTCGGGAAGAATCACACCATTACTTTCGGGTGCCACTCAGCAGTGGTTATGTAAGGCCAGGGGCACTCAAGAGCTTCAGCTGGGTGGGAGATTCTGAGGCAAGGGGTCACCATGAACCTTGACACACTGGATTCGTCAACCTGCTTTTTCTGGGAGTCTGACACAGTGGTTCACAAACACCACGGTTGGGCTTTTTCTCACAGCCTCCAGAGGTACCTCTGAGCCAGTTTTTGTTATCCCAAATATTATAAATCAACATCTTATTCTAAACATTTGATTCAGTGTATAATGCTCTCCTCGTTCTTTTCCTCAGACTTGGACATCAAGCCAATTCATAATATTAAAATCTCCTTCTTCTTTTGTTGACATCAGCTTCTGATTCATGGCAGGATACAGCCTTTAATTAGTGAAAAAAAGATGCTAAACAGATTGGCTTGCTTCAGGGTTTCTCTGTGTCGATGCTTGGGTTATGTGACACAGTGCTGTGACACTTCACATTTTGATGTACAATAAATAGCAATGCAACACCTGTCCCTGGCTGAAAACAGAAGGTGGGGCAATGATAGCAGGAGCTGTGGTACAGTATGTACAGGTAGCTTCGCGTTTATCCAATAAGGCTAAATCAATAGAAAATGGCTTTAACTTTACTCCCTCTGGACTTCAAAACTTATTTCAAGCCATGATTCTAGTCAAAATCTATGCAAAAGTCTAGACTGGGAAAGAGATCTGTAAGGTTGGTAAAACAATTTGAATAGGTTTCAAATTTGAAATGTTAGCTTTATAATTCTGCACTCTGTCCAATTTCAAGTGACTTCTAACCTATTTCTAAACACGGCAGGCTAAACCATAGCTAATAAGCAGCTAAGTTTGATTTTCACTGTGCGTCTTCAAAGCTTACTAGAACTGATCAAATTTGCGCACTGGCAACAAAACAGGATGAGTCATCCTTTCACTTCATTTATGTTACTTCTTCGGCCATCTCCGAGTCAATTACCAATCTGACAATAGTTAGGAGTGACTTTGAAAATGTAATATCATTTCAAAATGGTATTACAGTGGCCAGTGGGAAAAAAATCCCACGAAAAAAAGAAGTAGAAAACTGTGGCATACTGTAGTTTGTTGCCAATATGCACAGCCATTGTAGTATCATCACAAAACACTACTGTCTTTAATACACTACGGGTCTCTCTAGTGCATATCCAATATTCACCTTTCCTCCAGTGCAGGACACAGTCTATTGATGTAATAGGTAGAAACAAATATATTATTATTACATCACAGGCTCTTACTTGAAGGCACAAAATGAAAAGAAAACCACACTAAAATCTTTACCAGACACTGAATGCACCACACATAAGTATAGATCAGCACAGCGGTATACAAAACCCATATTCACCTGTCCTCCAGCACAAGAAACCGTCTTTGGATGTAATGAGGAGAAATAAATCAATGAGACCAAGTACACCGTCATGCAATAAGAAAACCTCCAAATAACAGCAACCCTATGAAAATAATGCCTAGTAAGTAGAGGGTCTATAGGTAGATTCTTGCATACATAATGGCAATATGTAGCAGGGATGCATCCAGTCACTGCACTGCGATAGACAAACGTAGTTAAAAATAAAAGAAAGATCCCACTGCTGTTCGCAGTTCAGTGAAAGAGCTTGAACACCAAGCTCCTCCGTATAAACGCATTTGCGTAGCCCGCCGAGGGGGCAGACTCAGCAGTGTCTTAACCTGGTGACACAGCTTCTCAAACGTTTCGTTTTCCTGGTCAGAAAGCGGTGAAAGCGAACCCACCCAGTTCTTCTTCTTCTTCTTCTTGGCGTCCAGCTCCACGTTGCTGCCCACGCTGGAGTGGCTGGTGGCGCTGGTGATGCTGGAGACGCTGTCGGAGGAGTGCTGCCGGCGGATGCGCAGGTCCGCCTGCTGGGGGGCGCCGTTGCCAGCCGCTGAAAGGCCACAAGAGAGGCGGGACCCATCAGCAAAACACGTCCGCAAAACCTTTCATTCATTTTCCCTTTAGGTGGTCACAGCAATAAAAACCAGTAGTAACAGCAAATAACAATGGAACAAGTAAGATATATTTGACATATTTGTTCAATATACAGTAATACACACCAGAAAAGACTGTGGTCCAGCACCCACCTCTTAACATCTACCAGAAAGATGTTATTTCTTCCGCTTCTTAATATGATCTTACAGTATATCAAAACTCTTCTTAACTGTATGACTTTATTTTAAAGAGGTCAATGGCATTGAGATAGACACCACAAACAACACAGGGGTTGTAATCTGCGTCTACTGTTAATTGAAATTAATAAGAGAAAAACGTACATGCGTTTAAAGACAGCTTGTAGATCATAAGATCATAAAAAGGTGCAAAACAAAAGGAGGGCATTCAACTGCTTGCAGCTTGCAGTTTAATGATCTGTGAATCTTGAAGGAACCAGGAGATCTGGCTTCAACTCACAGCCCGGTTAGCTTGTCTTGTTTTAGAATATGAACTTAGCTATCGAATGTGCTCTCATTAGGAGATGTTATAGCAGTGTTGCCAATCGCTTATTACAACAGCAATACTGAGAGATGGAGCTGTGGGTTCTCACCTTTACATGTGAGCTCCGGGGTGTTTATAACTCCATTGATAGCAGCCTGGGCAGCAGCATTCTGCTTCTTCAGGTACTCAATAGTTTTCCGTAGCTCATTGAGTTCTGAATCCTGCATATAAACACAGTTTGACATAGGAATTTGGTTACTTTCTTTCCACGAAGTAGCCTTCTTCCTTGTGGAGCTACCCCATTGGGATTGATGTAAAATGTCTAGAGGAAACTGGGGTGAAAAGGTCCAAGAACAGTGGATTTTTCTTTTTTTGTACTTTACTTTTCAGTCTGGAATTAACCTCTGCTTGATAAATGAATACATAACTGAGCTGGGCACACTGTCCCCTCACCTTCTGTTCTGCTGTCATAGTCAGACTCTGGAGTCTAATGGTCATGTTTCCAAGACTCTGTTCAAAGGCTGCTACAAGATGAGCCTGTAGAGAAAGAAAACCCAGGAAAAGAGTTAATTACTCCTTTCCCCGATTATCAAACCAAGGCTCCAGAGCCAAAACGTTGTGTTACTTTTCTTCCCTTTTCACCATGGAATAAACTTTTACTTGTTCTTATAATATTTTTTCTTAGCAATTGCAGTGTCTTACAATTTTGGCAAGAGTTTACATCAGGCTACGTGATATGTGAATACAGCTCAGAATCTGGATTCATGCCTGCCTGGGCACCTCCCCAGCCTGTCTTTATAATACTTGCAGTATTGAAATAAAACTCACAATGAGGCCCACACAAACCCCTTAAACCTACAATGCCAAAAGCACAAATACTGAAAGAAGATCTCTTGTGCATTATTCGGCTGGGAGAGCATGGCAGACAGGCAAGCTGTGACATCATGCTAAGAAAAGAGAAACTGCCAGTACATGTAGGTTGAAGTGCAGCCAGGATATGGTCAATTTGCTGTATCAAATAAGTTCTACGCCTTCAAAAGCGCATCTTCGGATTGAAAACATCACTCCATACCTTGAAGATATGGTACACACAGACCACTGCAGATGACTTAGAGCGTAAGAAGAAAATTTAGTTCAGCTACTAACCACATTATTCAAAGTGGAGTGTTACTAATCTGTTGCTCTTGTAATATTAATATCATTTCTCTTTGGTAATATTCAATATTCATTGTATTATTCAGAACATAAAACATGTTTTAGCTCCAAATTAGTTATTTTTCAACAATGACTATTGCAATATTATTTTCCTCTCCAATTACTAAGTTATGAAAAAATAATGTGTCATCTTCATATATACAATATATAAATCAGTTTCTGCTATAAAGACCTGGCAATATTTAAATTAATTTTACTCTTCTTCCTGTCGAAACCTGAAGATAAGAGTGCTT